ACTATTCTCATTGAAATTCTAAACATGAATAATATATTCTGTTCTTTTTTTTTTTTTTTATTCTGTCACGTTTGAAAACACACCTATTGTTTATTCGATTTATCTGTAATAAATTATTATATGAGAATCCCTATTTTTGTCAGGAATTATCGAATTAATTGAAACATTTCTTTTTTTTTATTATACAATCTCTTTGTATAAGTATTTATTTTTTTTTTTAGATAGTTTGAAGATTAGTATAATATATTAATTACATTAATAAATTTAATAAATAATTAATATATTGTATTTATAATAATAAAATATATAATATTATATTTATAATATATATTATATTATTATATATATATATCTATATATAATAATATATATAATATAGTATATTTAATATAGTATATATAATATAGTATATATTATGTTATTATAATATAATATAGTATATATTATATTATTTTTTTAATATTATAGTATATTATATTATATAATATTAAATTAATATTATAATATGTAATATATTATTAATATATATTTATATGTAATATTGTATATAATTTTTATATTTAATAATTTACTTTTTAAAATTAAATATATTCAATTTTATAAATTTAAACGTAATATATTACAATATAAGTATATTATAATTTGTTATAATTATAATATAATAATTTATAATTATTATTTTAAAATTATATTAATAATATATTTATTTAAAATAATATATTTTATTAGCTTAATTTATAATATATTAATAATATAATCAATTATAATTTATTTAATAGTAATAATATTAATTAATTTATATAAATAATTAATTAATATTAATAATAAAATTATTAATTTAATTAATATATAATAATTAATTATATACTGACTAACTATTAACTATTTAAATATTTTTCTAATTTATATTTCAATTGTAAAATATGTATTTCATTTATTTCTATTATCAAATAGTTCAATATTATTTCATCTATTTAATATTTCGTATTAATTTTGAAATAATTATTAGAAATATATCAGTATCAATATTTCCTATTATAATCCTATTTTTTTTATTATTTTTATTGTAACATAATATAACCTATATCTACAATTTAAATATAATTATTCAATTAATTCATCTCTGTCAACGTACTTTCTATCAATTAACTAATAACATATAAAAATCTTCATTAATGTTTCTCATAAATCAAATTAATAATCATTGATCGTTTCAATTTGATATACATATACAATTACATAAATAAAATGACATTTTTATATAATAATATCCTTTCTCTTTAATTCATTCTTAATTTATTTTTCTTCTATCAAATAAAAATTGAAATAACGAAATAAAATTGTCTATAAATGATGGATAGAAGACAGAAAGACAGACAGACAGACAGACAGATAGATAGATAGACAGACAGATTCTCAACGACGACGAGTTGATTGTCATTTCTTACGAGAGGATTATGCTAAATATAACCATTTCACCATTATAACAAAAAAAAAACTAAAAAGAAACTATGATAGATTTGACGATAATGAAAAATGGTAACGCTTAGCAAGACGTAAGTATAGCAAGGATACAACACACACACTCACACACACACACATACAGAAAACTGTGTGTGATAAATCCTGTCCGAGGACCAGTTCTTTCGGAGAGCGAATGCTACTACCTGCGGGTGGGTGGAGGAGGGGAGAGTTAGGGTGGTAAGAGAAGGGTGGGAAGGGGGAACGATAATCGAGTTTTACCGAGTCGAACGGGAGCTGTTGCCTACCTACCTACCTACCTATCTACCTACCTACCTACCTACCTACCTGGAGACTCCAAAGGGGAACACAAGAAACCAAGAACACTCTTGCAAAAGATGGAGTAGAAGAAAAAGTAAATAAAAAAAAAAAATTAACTAAAAAAACAGACAGGGATGAGCAAAGAGTTGTTTTGTGTCTCCTGCTGGAAAGAAAAGAATTGACTGATTGCGAGTTGTACTGAGTTAAATAATGATAATAAATTTAAAAAAAAAAGAATAAAATAATAAAGAAGAAGTAGAAAAAGAAGTATTTCGTTTAAATATAAAAAATAAATAAATAAAAAAGAAAAGTAATAAAAAAGATTAATAATAGATAAGGATGAGAAAAGTGTGTTGTGTCTCCTGCTGGAAAGAAAAGAATTGACTGATTGCGAGTTGTACTGAGTTAAATAATAAAAATAAATTTAAAAAAAAAAAAAATAATAAAGAAGAAGTAGAAAAAGAAGTATTTCTTTTAAATAAAAAATACTAAATAAATAAAAAGAAAATAACAGACAAGGATGAGAAAGGTGTGTTGTGTCTCCTGCTGGAAAGAGTAGAATTGACTGACCATGAGTGTACTAAGTTAAATATTAAAAATAGATTAAAAAAATAATAAAGAAGAAGTAGAAAAAGAAGTATTTCTTTTAAATAAAAAATACTAAATAAATAAAAAAAAAATATCAGACAAGGATGAGAAAAGAATGTGTCCTGTAGGAAAGAGTACAATTGACTGACCATGAGTGTACTAAGTTAAATAATAAAAAATAAATAAAAAATAATGACGAGAAAGAAGAATTTCTTTTAAATAAAAAACTTATAAAAAAAAGAAGAAATAAATAATAAAAAAATAAAAAAAAAAACAGACAAGGATAAGAAAAGATTGTATGTGTCCTGTGAGTCTTCTGCTGGAAAGAAAAGAATTGACTGATTGTGAGTGTACTGAATTAAATAATACAAAATAAATAAAAAATAATGATGAGGAAGAAGAATTTCTTTTAAATAAAAAACTAATAAAGAAAAGAAGAATTAAATAATGAAAAATAAAATTAAAAAAAAACAGACAAGGATAAGAAAAGATTGTATGTGTCCTGTGTGTCTCCTGCTGGAAAAAAAAAGGGAATTGACTGAACATGTAAGTGTACTGAATTAAATAAGAAAAAATAAATAAAAAAATAAATAAAAAATAATGATGAGGAAGAAGAATTTCTTTTAAATAAAAAAACTAATAAAGAAAAAAGAATTAAAAAAATAACAGACAAGGATAAAAAAAAGATTGTGTGTGTGTCCTGCTGGAAAGAGTAGAATTGACTGAGTGTACCAAGTTAAATAATACAAAATAAATTAAAAAAAAAAAAAGTAATAAATAAAAAATCTCTTTTTCTCTCTCTCTCTCTCTCTCTTTTTCTCTCTCTATCTCTTTCTCATACACATACACACACTGTACTCACATATACACTTATTCATTTTGTTGTATATACTTCGATTCGCGTACATCTTGTGCTCGTTATTTCGCTCCGCACGTTTGGCCCCCATATGACGGACGTTGGACCCTTAAGGGTTCTTTTCGAGTCTTCCCCCTCCCCCTTGCCCTCCCAACCTACCACTACCACTAATACAAGTCTTTCTTTCTTTCTTTCTTACTCATTCTACATCCTTCTTCAAGACCGTTGAAAGAAGATATATTTAGACTGGGAGTCTGTGCAAAAAAAAAAAAGAGAAAGAGAGAGAGAGAAAGATCTTACCACGTCAGGTAGGTACCCAAGATGCGAGTTGAATTCGTCTTGAGAGAAAGAAAAAAAAATAAGAGAGAAAGAAAGAGAGAGAGAGAGTTTACGAGACTCGTAGTACCGGACTTTTTCGAGGTCGGTGCACTTCGAATTCGTGGTGGACATCCACTCCCAAAACTCGTGTTACTTAACTCACTATAATTATTAATTCTTCTTCTTTTTTTTCTTTTTGGAATATTATATTTATTTATTGCTTTGTTTGTTTGAGTTTATAAATGGGAACATATTCGTTCAATTATATAATCAATGAGATATATATTAATTATTATTTCTCGTGTATTTAAATCAATTAAATTTAGTTTTTATGCACAGATATTTGATTTCAGTCACGTAACTTTATTCTAAATTTCTTCAAAATTATTTGACATATTGGTAAAAAGATAATTCAAAACGTGTGTTAAAAGAAAAATAATAAAAGTCTTCTTTTATTTACCGTCGAAAAAAAAAAAGTGCAATTAATGAAGGAGGGGGATTGAGGAAAAATGAATGAATTCTGTTCTCATTTCTACTTGAATAACACAAATACATAATAATATATTTTATTAAAACGAATAATTGAAAGAAAGGAAAAAAAGAAAAGAAACGTATAATATCTTCGGGTAAAAGTTACGAGAAAACCGTAACGAAATTAATTGACTGAATCAAAGTCATGAATGTAATGGGAAAAAAAAAGAAAAGAAAAGAAAAGAAAAAAGAAAAAGGAAAAGAAAATAAAAAAGAAAAAGAAAACATACACATTTTCATAAACTTTCTATCTTTGGTAACTTTCTTCAAAGATTCCTACCCACCTACCCCATATTCGCGATTAAATATAGAAATGTATATAAAAAAAAACAAATAAACAAATTGAATATGATAAAGAATAAAATAGAAATGATTGTATATTGCAAAATTGAGATATATTTAATGAAAAATATAATAATTTACTGCAAAAGGGAAATAAAAAATAACACATTTTCATAAACTTTCTATCTTTGGTAATTTTCTTCAAATATTCCTACTTACCTACCCCATATTCGTGATTAAATATAAAAATATATATATTTTATATATAAAAAACCAACAAACAAATTGAATAAGATAAAGAATAAAATAGAAATGATTGTATATTGCAAAATTGAGATATATTTAATGAAAGATATAATAATTTACTGCAAAAGGGAAAAAACACACACACATATTTTCATAAAACATACATAACAACCACACTTTCTATCTTTGGTAACTTTCTTCGAAGATTCTTACCCCTCACTCACCCACCCAACTACCCACTTACTTCACATTCGTGATTGAAGATAGAAATATATATAAAAATAAAATAAACAAATTGAATAAGATAAAGAATAACATAGAAATGATTGTATATTGTTAAAAGAGTGTAAGATATTTAAGTAAAAATATAAATAACCACTACTAGTTTGAAACTTACCTCGCACCTGGAAGTGTCCAATATCTCAACCTCGGTAGTAACGTTATCGATGGTAACACTGTGCCGGTAAAGGAAATCTGCAACAGAGTAGAACGAGATTATTCTTGACGCCTTGACGAATGATATGGCTGTTCATTCCTGAATCACTATCAATGCATGTACCTTACTTACTACCTAGTATTCTCTTTCTTTCATTCTTTCATTCTTTATATATAAACGCGAAAGGAGGAAGAAGAAGACAGAAGAGGTTCTTGTTGTTGTTGTTGTTGTTGGTTGTTGTTCTTACATACACACACACATATATATATAGTTTCTTTAATGTATGAAGAAAGGAATAGAAAAAGAAAAAGAGAGAAAGAAGATGTACGAGTACGGTCATGAAGGATAATGAAATCGATCCGTCAGTTCACTTTAAGGATCAAGAAAGATCGTACCGAGTTACTCGAACGAATCGAGGGGTGTAGGGGGAAAATCCTAACCACGCGATTCTATTTATAACGAGTGTGACATTAAAAAAAAAAAAAGAACATGTGTGCAGATCACACGTGTTAGAAGTGAAACCTATAAAAATCTAAGTTTCGAGAGAATGAGACGAATGCACAGTTTCAAGAGTAAGATAATTGTAGGATTTATTTATTATAATATTATTGCCATATATAATAAAGGTCACCGGTATGGTCTCTGGATGGAATAGCTAATAAAAAGTACACTTTTCCAAATTCAAGCAATAAAAATCGTGGCCCTTGCATAGCGGCCCGTCGCTCCGTTGCCTATCCGTATACAGGCTCCGTTGCTTATCTGTATACAGGCTCCGTTGCCTGAACCACCTATTTCTTTTCAAATCACTCCCTATTCTAAAGAAGTTTTCACTTCAAAAAAAGAAACAATCCTTGAAACATTTTTATTAACCCTTACAATGCTATGGATGCATATATCACGTTCGTCGCCCAGCGCCCGTTTCGGTTGAGTTTCTCGCCAGGCCCAAAATTCAACTGCCAACGCCGCCGTAACGTAAAGAAGCGATCAGTAGAAATCTCAACAATGCGACCCGAGTATTATGGTTATATTATATTATTATATTTTATTTACCGAAAATAATAAAATATAAAACTATCGTTTATTTACCAAAAATAATAAAATATAAAAATATCGTTTCTTTACCAAAAATAATAAAATATAAAACTATTGTTTATTTACCAAAAATAATAAAATATAAAACTATCGTTTATTTACCAAAAATAATAAAATATAAAAAGTATAGTATAATGTGTATATTTTTAGTATTTTTATGTTGTACAACCCATATTTAGATCATGTTAGTACTAATTCCATGAAATTCCTTTTCAAAATCCAACTAAAAATCCTATAACTTCGACAAAATGAACATCTCCGTATAGAGAAAACGGGGCCCACGGGGAAGCATGTCCGTCTCTTCTATACGGAGACATGGCGACGAACGTGATATGCGTTTGGTAAAAATTACCCATGTAGTCTATCGACGCATATACTACGTGTTTGTTATAATATTAATATAAAATAATGTAATATTTATATTAATTAATGAAATAATATTCACAGAAAACAAAAACTTTAATTATTAATTATAATTTATTAATAGAATTTATTCCATTTCTACAAAACATTTTAGTTAAAAGTATTCAACACTTAAAATGGTTAAATATCTCACCCTATATAAATATGCGTATTATATTTTAAATAAATAGAGAGAAACGTAAAAAAAAGAAAAAAGGGAAAAACTTCGTTCTGACGACGAAGGAGATCTACTCGTCCTTGGACGAGAGTGATCTAAGGAAACGATAGCTGAAACTGAATCCTAGGATCGAGATCATGCTAACTCGCATCAGCTAAGATTAATGATCGTTCATACGAGAACTGGCGAACGTAAATCCGCGTCTCTAACTCTAAAGCGAGATCTTTTTTTTAATCTTCTTTTTTCCTTTCGTTTCTTTATAAATCCTTTTTTTCTTTTGTTTTTTTTTTTAACTAATTCCTTTCTCCTCTTTACCACCCTTCACCCCTTTTTACCTGGTTATTTAACTTCCTGTAATTATCTTAATGGTATTTTCCTTTGTTGCTTTTCTTTTCATTTTTTTTTTTTTTTTTAGTTTTTTATATCAACGTATTCATGTTTTGTTTCAATTTTATTCTTTTTTTTTTGTAAAATCATATTGGAAAAATGATTGAAATTGTTTAATTAATGTTAGTACCTATATTCTTTTTTTATTTTTTTATTTGAAAGAAATTTAATTACTTTTGTTAATATTGCATTCTTTATACGTAATGATAATTACTAATGTTAACTAACAATAAATGAAATGGAAAATATGGAAAAATTATTTTTATGTTGTAAAATGAATGAATGTAGAATTGTTTGACTATTGTATCAATATCATAATTATCAACACACTTTTGCAATAAAAATTATTTATAATATATTCTATTAAAATATTCAGATCAATTTCTATTTCTCTCGTTCAATTTTATGTTACTATTTTTTTTAATAATAAAAATACGTAATATTTATATACATCTTTATTTACCTTATAAAATTTTACTTAATTTAATCTTAATATATATAAATTACGTGTCACATTGTTTGTCCGCAATGGACTCCTAAACTACTGAACCGATTTTAATAAAATTTTGCACAATGTGTGCAGTTTCATCCAACTTGAAAGATAGGATAGTTTATATCTCAATTCATAATCGCAATATTATTTTATTGCGAATTATTTGTTTATTAACAAAGAGTCATGATTATCTCTGTTAATTCGATAAGATTCTAACAGATGGCGGTATAAGGTAATTTGTTGACTTAAAGACGTAGTTTATTATATATTTTATTTAATTTAAATATATAATTGTTTGACTATTGTATCAATATCATAATTATCAACACACTTTTGCAATAAAAATTATTTATAATATATTATATCAAAATATTCAGATCCATTTCTATTTCTCTCGTTCAATTTTATATTACTTTTGTTTTTTTTTTTGTAATAATAAAAATACGTATTAAATATATATTTTATATTTTACATTTGCCTTATAAAATTTTACGAGCTCTATAAATTATTATAAAATATGTATATGTATATAGTTTCAAAAATTTTAAATAGAATAATAAATATAAACATATAAAGAGATAGAAATATAGTCGCGAAAGTTAAAACATTTGAATATCGTGAAAACTATAAACTTGACTTGATAATAAAACAAAACAAAAACAAAACAAAAAATTAAAAAAAAAATCAATCTTATTTAATCTGCTTTATATATTTTAACATTTGCAACATATGAAAGTTAAAATTTAAATGAATAAAAAAGAAAGTTTAAGAAAGAAATTCATAGTAGTAGTAGTAGTAATAGTAGTAGTAAAAGGAACAATTTGTTAAAGTATAATTTATTGAGCAAAATTCAGGATTCTTAACGTTTATACTCGTAAACGTTTTTACAAGGTATCGTGCATAGTGTTGCATAGAAACAAATTTGCAATAACCAACGTTTGGATTATCATTATGTTCGATATAGTATTCAACTATAGTAAACTTGTGTACGTTCACCCTACGAGAAATCCCTTCTCATCCCCTAACTCGAGTTTAAAGTCTACTTTACGATGAAACCTTATGCACCTTCGTGCACTAACACACCATAGAACTGAATTGCGTGCGGCTGGCACATTTGTCGTATTTGTTAAAAAAAGAAAAAAGAAAATAAGTAAAAGAAAAATGTTTTCTAACCTCACGTACCTTCGTACCTTCGTACCGTCGTACCTTCGTACCTTCATCTTACTATTTCTATGTATATATATATGTGTGTGTGTGTGTTATGGGGAGCTTTGGATACATGTCACGTGTTTTAACATTCTTTAATATATCGTTGACGGGTGAAAAAAATAAAAACATGATTAATTTCAATGAAAATCATTTAAAAAATAATCTTTCAAACGTAAATTTCTAATGATCCATGATTTAAATTCAACCATATATTTTGCGTGTGTGTGTTTTTTTTAATATTATATATGATTAACCTTTTGAGTGGTGAGTACTTTTAACAAAAATGTTTTGTAGGAACGGAATAATTTATTATTAACCAGATTCTAATAATAAATAATATTTAATAATTAAAGTTTTTCTTTCTGTGAGTATAATTTAATTAATAAATAGTAAATTATATTAAATAATATAAAAATAATATTAAAATTATATAAAAAAAATAATTTATTAAATTTATTAAATTATATTAAATAAAAATAATATAAAAATTAATTATAATAATTATTAAATAATAAATATTTAAAAAAATTATTAATTATATTAAATTATATAAAAATAATCAATAAAAATTATATAAAAAAATAATTTATTAAATTTATTAAATTATATTAAATATTTTAATAAATTATATTAAATAAAAATGATATAAAAATTAATTATAATAAATATTAAATAATTTTACATTAATATTAACAACCACGTAACATATATGCTTCGAACGATAAGGTTAGTAATTTTTATCAAACGCATATATGCGTCCATGGCACACACACTCTAAGGGTTAAATAAAAATCCGACTTATTAAATGAAAAAAAGTAATAAAAATTGTAGGGGTAGGAGTAGGGATAGGAGCATGGGGAGAAGGTGGTAGGAAGGTAATATTGTTTGGAAAGGTAAAAAATTTCGTGTTGTTCACAATGATGGCGAAAGTCGTGTGTCATTGTCGGAGAATCATAGTAATGACAGAGCGGCATGATGCCAAACACCGGCGCGTCCAATCGGAATCCTCGTATTCTAACTGGTTCGAAACTTTCGCGCATTAACCGCATTTTATAATACTTATTTCTTCTATGAGAACATTTTCTAAGCGTCTATGACTTTTCGGTCAATGTCTTTCTTTCTTTCTTTCTTTCATTCATTCTTTTATTAATAATACATTTTCGTTTCTTTAAAAAAAAAAAAAAAAAAAAAACAATTAATAAAAAAATAAAAATGATTAACACAAACAATTAAATTAAATTAAAATATCCAAACAAAATTTAGAAAATAATAATGAG